GACGGTAACGGTCGCTCCTCTGTCACATTGCCTTGGAGCTATTGAAACCACCTCAGTATAAAGAAAGAATCGGTGACAACTGTCATCTTTGGGATGTAGGTGTTCACGTTGAACAATTCTGTAAATTAATTAACTCATTAATTTGTTCCACAAATACATTTATTTGAGCATCATTCATGTGCTATGCTCTCGGGATACAAAGAGAAAAGGCAAAGTCAGAGTCTTTGTTTTTGGGGTGCTCGTGATCAAGGAAGAAAAACACCCAAGATAAATAACCATGACAAACAAATAAATTAAAACACCGTGCAACTGACGTCATACTGAACTTAGCCCCTATATATTGTGCTCGTGTTCGAAGTACTGAGCTAGGTGCTTTGCATTGTTTTTTTTTTTTTTTTTTTGCGGTACGCGTGGCCTCTCCCGTGTCCCCTGCATCGGCAGGCAGACTCTCAACCACTGCGCCACCAGGGAAGCCCAGTGCTTTGCATTTTTAACTTTCTTCTTTCATTAAACGCTCACAACAATCCTTTCCGAGCTGGTATAGTTAGTCTGTGGTTTACAGATGCAGAAATTGAGCGACAAGTAGGGTGAAGACCTTGGTCTGTGTGATTTTATGGTGCTTGTTCTCTCAGCCACCAGGGTCATGATAGACATGGGAGTGAAGGTCCTGGGCCACAGAGGAGGGAGAAGTTAACTCTGCCTGGAGACCCAGGGAGGGCTTTAGGGATAAGGAAACATCTGAGTTGGATTTTGAAGGATGAGTAGGAGTTTTCAAGGTATGAATTTGGAGCAGAGAAGAGAAAAACATTTTTGGAACCCGGGAACATGTGCAAAGGTCACAGGTCAGAGAAGGGGGATTAGGGATCTGTGAGGGGTTAAGTCTGTTGGGTGGGATGCTTGGGTGTGGTCACCCTTGTATGTCAGGGGGAGGACTTTGTATAAAATAACAGAAGTTAAGCCAGAAGAGTTAACGTGAATTTCTCTCCTCTTCTCCCCAAATTTACTAAAGCAAAGTGACATAGGTTATGCGGAGGGAGGTGATTTGTTTATCTGGAGGTGCAAGCATGGAGCAAACCATTATTCACTCCATGAGAGAACCACCTGTGAAACTTTAAATGGTATAAAAGAAGCGCAAGAGTTCCTGCCCCTCCTCACGGCCCACGGCAAACTCCACCATCTGTGGACACGTGGCGATTCTTCACGGAGCAGAGCTCTCTCTCAGTCCCCATCAATTCCTCCAGAGTTAAAGATAGAAGTTCCATATGCAGTTCCACTCCTGGGTCTACGCCCCAAAGAATTGAAAACAGAAACCAAAGCAAGTATCTTTACACAGATTCTTAAAGCAGCACTATTCACAAGACCCAAAAGGTAGAAACAACCCAAAGTCCATCCACAGATGAATGGATAAATAACATGTCATATATTCACACAATGGAATATTATTTGGCCTTAAAAAAGAATGAAGCATTGAAAACATCCCAGACAACAAAAGACCACATGCTGTGTGATCATATTTGCATCAGAGATCCAGCATAGGTAAACCCAGGGAGACAGAAAGTAGATTGGTAGCTGCCGGGGGCTAGAGGTAGGGGGAATGGGGAGAGGCTCCTCATGGTACAGTTTTGTTTGGGGTGATGAACTTGTTTGGGAATTGGATGGAGGTGGTTGTTGTGCATCACTGTGAATGTAATCAATGCCATTGAGTTATGCATACTTTAAAGTGCTTAATTTTATGTTATGTGAACTTCACAGCAAAAAGAAAAAATCCCGGTCAATGCCGTTCTGGGGTGGGCACTGTTTATCAGCTGGAAAAGGGAGCAGCATGGCCAACAGCCTCCGGGTGGGCCCCATGGGTGCCTGCATCCCCGAGAGGCCCGGTCCCCCTTCTCACCTCAGAGACCGTTCCCCGGGTCTCCCGGGAGGAAAGGATTCTTCACCATGTAAAGCAGTTATTTCCAAGTGGACCCACTTGACCCTGTAAATCACTTTCTTGAATGAGAGATAGTAAAGGGCAAAAGTTACTCCTTTCCTATTCTTTTAATTGCCTGGGTCGATAGGCACAATTGATTTGAATTGAGAAATAGTCTCCAGGTAACATTTAGGAAGAATCACTGAGATGGGCACATCGCGAATGACCCTCTGCTCTCCACGGGGACCGCCTTCGGGGTTCTAGCCAGTGCAGCTAGGCCTACGCTCAGAGTGAGCGAGGCCACAGATGCACGTCTCCACGTGGTCCTTTGGACAGGCCCTGGATGCTTCCAGTGGGATGGTGTGGAGTCCGTCAAGAGGGTTGTGCCCTAAAACTTCCCTGGAGGGTGGAGGCTGTGCCCTTCACCTGGTGGTCTGGTGCTGGGGGGGAGTCTCTGAGCAGCAGCTGACTCCCTGGAGCCCAGCCTCTGGCCCAGACCTTCTGCTGGGCTTCGTCCCTCAGAAACACCCCTGCGACAGGAGCTGTCTGCTGAGGTCACTTTCTGAGGGACTTTCCTGCCACCGCCCCTGGTGACGCTCACCTTGGAGGGGATGGCAAATCTCGCCTCTGGGTCTCTGTTTTGGGCATCAGATTGGGGGCTGTGAGGCAGGGACAGTGCACCATGCTCGGAGCAGTGCGCGCCCGTGACTCCCTGCCTGCCTGAGCCTTTCTGAAACTATTGGGAGGATCAGCTGGCTCAGAAGAGAAGCCAGTTTCCAGCCCAGTTCTCGGGGAGTGATATTACAGGGAGAAAAGAATTCTGTGGACGCAATATCCTACGTTCATTAGACAGCTCGTCAATAAGATTGGGGGACAGGATTGATCTTTTACTTATAATGCAGAGCACTGAATGGATGGCAAAAGTGCTTTTAAAAGGGGCCCACGGAACACTTTGAAAATATTAATTAGTGTGTTGAAGCATTCTGCATAGCATTTCATAGTGAAACTGCTCCAGGGGGTTGCTTGGGATGAATTATTAATAAGAATCCGTCTCCATCCTGTGCTTCCTTCCCACCCTGATTTTGTGGGTGTGGGTGTGGGTGTCTGTTCTATTCATTTACTGCTCATTTCACGCAAGTGGGAAGATTGGGGTGGCCCATGTTGGGGGCTCACGTGTCTGGAAAAAAAGACATACCCCAAACACCAAGGACACACCATGCAGGAGAAAGGCAGTGCTGTACGTGGCGGTACAGTTTTGGTGCTTTATATTCCAATTGGAAACCAAATGGGTATGACTTTTGGGGGTGAGTTTAAGGTTTCCTAAAGATTCAGGGCTCAGAAAGCAGCAGCTTCTGAAAATCAGAGAAAATCCGGGGGCTTCCTTCTGTAGCCCTCTGACCCCCACTTGGCCTACATCACTGGTGGGAGGAACTACCATTCCCTTTTCAACGGACCTTAACTGTGTTTACCGAGCAACCTCAAGGGTTCACGGAAGCTCACTAAAATACAACGTCCCCTAAACAGGTTAGCGATCGGATTCCAAGCTGAGAGTGAAGCCTACTTTCTTCCTGTTCTCAGAAGCATAGATTTGGAGAAATATAAACATATTAGCAGGGGCATTTTGCTTTAAAATTTTAAACTAATTCAATCAAGGATCATAGAAATACTTATAGTTCTGCAAAACTGAGCAATGCGGACAGGGGGGCTAATATAGTTATCCTGAGCGTTCCTTACCTTGGAGGGAGGCCAGAGATGCGTTCGCAGGAATGCCTTAGACGGTCCCCAGTTTGTCTTCTTTTGTTCCTCCCTGCCCGCCCCCCGCCCATTTCACACTTCACATTTTTGGATTCCATGTCTTTTTTCTTTAAAAAATATGTGCAGATATCTTCGCTTGCTGGAAAACAGTCCAAAACTACGTCTGTAAATCATGGAGATTTTTGACCTGATGGCCATGTTAGACAATCAGATGAAATGGTGAATTTTCCACTTTCATTTTATTAGTGTTCTCTGGTCTCAGGGTATAAAAGACATGGCCCGTGCAGTTTAAAAATGAATTAGTCGACTGGACTTCTTTGTTCAATACGTTTGACAGGGATAACTCTGGTCTACTGGGCCATGCATATGTGTATTCCCCGCCTCCCACGAAAGTTTGAGGTGTCATATTGGACTACTTTGTTTAACCCTACAGGGAAAACCACCAACCATGGGCTTAACTGGGATTTTCGTGTTGACAACTTCCTGCTATTATGATGGGAGCTGATCGTTAGCAGTTGACTGCGCCTTAGCGGTGGGGACAGGGGACAGGGAGTCGTGAGAGTCTTTGGAGCAGCAACGACAATGCCTCTGCTTTTCATGAAGTGACGAGGGGACATCTTTTCCCAAGGAAACCCTCCTCGCACTGTGGATGTTACGGAGCACGTTCTCTGGGGCGGGTTCTGTAGCCAACTGGTTAATATTTTAAACATGTAGATGACCTCCAGGCCTTCTGAGGCCAATTTCTCTCTCGCCATCTTTCTTTGTCCATGTCTTTCCTTCTTGGGAAAAAAAAAAAAAAAAGAGAGAGAGAGAGAGACTTCCCAACTAAAGATCTCTCTAAAATTTTACATCCCTGGTGCGATATTATTATTTTATTCACTTGGTTTCATCAGAATTAAGCCCAGATTGAAAAGAGAAAGATCAGCTCTGCCAACAAGGAGAGCAATGCCTAACCTCCTCCCTTTGGTGACCTTTGATAAGGGTTCTGCTTTTTGGAGAGTGTGACACGGCTGGCCCGTGGGCAGAACCTGCTGGCCGTCTCGGGGGCAAGATGAACGCAGTGCCGGAAAGGGAAAGGAAATGAACCTGGAGATTCTGTGGCTGTGTTACCACCTCCAAGGACAAAGGAATTTGCAGTGAGCAGTTGTGTGTGTGTGTGTGTTTGTGTGTGTGTGTGTCAGAGGGGCCTCCTAGAAATTGCAAGGTTTTATTTTTATTTATTGTTTGGTGATGATTTAAACACCTTATGGTGCCAAAGCAGAAGCAGAAGAAGCCTGTGTTTGGCTTTTATCAGCTAAGAGAATTAAGGTTATTTTTTCCCTTGACTTTTTTTTAGCAGCCCCAGTGCCTTGGCCGGATTCCAGTTCAGGTAATTACATTCTGTCTTTCTAAATTCCCTTGTAACTCCAATTGGGCAAAAGCTGCTCTTCACTCCCCTCCTAAAAGCTGATATGTGGGGTGCCTGGCACCGAACGGGGTGGCGTTCCAATAGTGGGTCCCAAGGTGTTCCACTGGAAATGCGTTTCGAGAGGCTTCTGCGTGCGGAGCTCGTGTGCAAATGGAAGGAGTATTATTTATGGCTGTTTTCCGTCAGCAGCTGCTAACCCGAAACTCTCTGAATGACATTTTAAATATGAAGGCCGGGGTCATTAGGACGATTAGATAGAAGGTCCGTTTTGCTCACCTCTAGAATTATTGGGTGACTGAAACCGGGGTGGGAAGTGAAGAGAGGAAAACACGTCTTATCACGGGAAATGCTTTCTGTGTTCCATTTTCCACAAAATGGCTCTTTTTGTTGTTGTTGTTGTTATTTGCTTTTACTTATTTTTTTGCTATCGCCTGATGAAAATTAAGGGGGATTATTGGGCCTTTTTGTTTTTGTTTTTATTTTTTAGGGAGGAATGGAAATGGAGGTGTTTTCCGTTTGTAGGAACAAAATGATATCGCTTTTTTAAAAAGTCTGAGGTTCAATTCATTTAATTTTTCAAATATTTATTGAGTACCTGCCATGTACCGGACCCTGCCCAAGGGCTCTTTTGGACACATAAACGCTTACTGTTTTTAACCTTTTCATTAATATTTATCTTAATTATGGACACCAATGTGTTTTTCAAAAACAATGAAAGTAATTCCTATAAAAGAGCATCTGTAGGGGTGACCAAAGTATGAAATGACCTGCTTGTGTGTATGTGATTGTAATGACACCCTCTGTAGACAGCTGATTTCGGCGAAGGTATATTTCCCAAGACGGACACAAGTCTTTGCCACAAACCAGAATTTAGAATGTGTCCTGAAAGGTACAAAAGAAAATCTGATGTATGAAAGCCATTTTCATTTTAAAGATAAACATAAGAGTAAAGGGATTGTTTTTCTAGTTGACATTAGAGATCCAGGAACCTGCTGCCATGGGCCTATTGTCAATTCTGTTTGTGTCATAATTCCTACAAAACGAGGATGTGAAGGTTTAACAGACCGCATTTCTGAAAGAGATGGGTTTGATGCTCTGGGCATGCATCTCGGCTGGCTGTCCTAGTCTGGGGTCTTTCCACAAACCTAGAAGTAGACAGATCTCCCCAGTACTTTACATTTTTATTTCTGTTAGCTTTAATTTTCCCAACCCTTCGTCCTTCCGCGACTGCCATAAATCAATGACCCCGTGCATTTATGTGGAGCAAGCAAAGCCACTCTGAGGGGCCTGACAACCACATCTGATGTTAGGTCTTATCACCCTGTGTTTAGATAATAATTCCTTTTTGCCCTTGTACCCCCTTTCTTTACAAAGCATTGGGTCCAGGCAGATATTAAACAACTCAACCCAACCCTGCAGTCTCCTCTGGGCTTGTAACTCTAGTGAATTGCATTTTTTCCTAATTACAGGAAAAACAGCAGATTGGCAAACATCAGGAAGCGGGTACATCCCCTCTGATTTACAAGGAAGAGTGCAGGGTGACTCTACAGCTCAGGAATTCAGTGAAATAAATTTATGGTTAGAAAAATTCATGTTCTTAATGTGATGAAGGTCCTTTAACTTTTAACACGTTTCTCTAGTTAAGCTGCACAGGGTTCTCTCGGAAATGGCTGTCTACAACTGCTGCAAACTGATTTATCTCCAGATAATGGTCAGAGCTGCGGACCAAATTGTTGGAAAGACCCAGTTCTTTAACTTTGGGGTTTGGGGCTGTCCGTATTACTGTTTATGCATATTCCCTTTGTGTACATGAGCAGAGATTTTCGGTGGCCTAACTTTTCCGGGCAATCAGGGTAATTTCCCTCCAGCCCAGAGGGTCTGCACTGCTGAGAATCTCTGCACACGGTCGCCCTGCTGGGATTTGCAGCCCACATCAGCCCCTTCCTTGGCAGCTGGGAAATTCCTTGAAGAATCAAGTGATCTATGTGAGAAAGATCCCGTAGACATCACGTACACATCACTGTGTACAGCAATACTAATTTGTCTTTCGAAAATTATATTTTGAGGAGCTGCTGAAATCATTTGCATTGCGAGAGTGATGAAATTTCCTCCATTTAAGATGTTTTCTTGGAAAAACAGATGCATTGCCCCAAGCCTGACATTGTCCTGGCTTTTGTGGGGCCTCCCCTCCATCTCCAGAGGGAGCACAGCCAGACACCTATTACTGGAGAGACCTATGACTTCACTCAGTGAACATTTCCTGAGCACCTACTACGTGCAGAGCAGTGTGTCAGGTCCTGGAGACAGGGGTGCATGAGACAGACACCCCCTCACCCCCTTGGGATTTACAATCGATTGAGACATAGAAAATGGAGCAAGCAAAGGGATGCCTGCATAAAGAAATGCCAGTTGTGTAGGCACACTGAGAGAAAAAATACAAGGCGTCATGAGAGAGAATATGGGGTCTCCTGCGGTAGGCGGGCTCTGGGAAGGGGTGACTGGGAAGCAGAGATATTCAGCCCCTGGCCCTCTCTGCAAAGTTCCCAGGCGCATCCCTCGCTTCTCAACAGCAGAAAGAATTGTGGGGAGGCACTATGGACGGGGGACGGATCACAGGCTGGTCACGGCACAAGGCTCATGGGGTTCAGCCCAACCCGGAAGTCCATTCCCCGTCCCAGGCCACCGTGTGTCAGTGATGTCTCTGGAGGGGACGGGTCACCTCCAGCTGTGTACTATTTAGGGGGCCCCAGGCTTTGTGCTGGACTGTCCCTGCCCCCAGGTTCCCCACAGCATGATGTTGTCTCTTCTCTCTGATTTGTACACTTGGGGTCAGGACTGTCCTCCTCCTGACTGTGTGTACCTGCCTGAGCGCCCACCCCCAACCCAGCTCTGCTCTGAACAAAGGAAGACCTAGCCCTCTAGCCCCTGAACCCCAGATCTGATTTTTCACTTTTCCATAGATGTCTGGGTCTGACCTTTTTGTGGGTAGTTGAGGATGGGGGCACAGAAGACTAAGACATTTTCATCTTTTTCATGGCTTTTCTCCCGGAGAAAATACTCGCTGTATATTCATTTGCTTTGAAAAGGTAACTGAATAAAAATAACTGAAAACAATGTATACCTGTGTGCAGTAATAGATGTTGACTAGACTTACTGTGGTGATCACTTTGCAGTATATACAGATACGCAGTCAGTATGTTGTACACCTGAAACTAATATAATGTCACATGTCAATTACATCTCAATAAACAAAAAACAACCCCCTTGAGTTTTATGACATTTTTCTGTTGCTTCTGATAAAATTAAGAAATAAAAAATTAAGATAAACTCAAGAGACAAACAGGCATACGAGAATTACAAATACCTTAGAATAAGGCGAAACTATCACGAGTGAGTCTTAAATCCATACCCCTGCCTCCCCACCTCCTTTCCTCCCCTCCTTCTCACCAAGCATCTGTTGAGTACCTCCCTGATCCTGCTGAGACACTGCCAGGTCCTGGTGATGCTGCGATGAAGGAGATGTGGTCCCTCTGTCTTCATGAAGCACAGCCTGGCTCATGAGACAGCTATGCACGCATCAGCCTCTGGGAGAAACCTCGCTGACACATACCTGTGCACAGGTGAGCCACTGGTGAAACTTTCTTTGCGAGCAGAGGAAAGGGCGACTGGAAACATCTGGGAAGCCTCCCCAGCAGGGGTAGTATCTGATTTAGGCCTTGAAGACTGAGTGGGGTTTTTCTAGAAGGAGCCCTGGGGAGAAGGGCACTCAACAGCAAAGGCAGCGCTATGGATGGACGCAAAGGAAGGACCGTGCCGGGGACGGTGGGAATGGAAAACCATCTGCCTGGGACTCCCAGGGTGACCTGCTGAGCAGCCCATATTGTTGAACCTTTCTGGAACCTTTCCAGAACCTTCAACACTTAGCAGTCCTTTGTACCATCCCAAGGGGCCTGCTTCTTCTGTTGTCTTGACGAAAACTCTAGAAGTAAATGCCGGAGCACTTCAGGGTCTTTTGCTCACAAAGTGACCATGACCCTAGGAGAAGGCATGGATGCCTTGGAGCAAGCGGCCCTGGGGGGATCTGTCACCGCCAGGTAAGGGTGGGTGTCCCTGGACCGGGTGCACCTGAGTCAGGCCTGTGCCCGGTAGAGAGTCACTGTGGGGATCAGTCACTCAGTTGACAGAGGTCTGTGTGGCCTCGTATGACAGTCGGGAAGGCACGATCATCCTGTCGTCTTGAGCAAATTTGTGCCTAAAAGAGAAAACACTTAACCCTTCACTAATGTTTGCTCTGCTTTTTATTATCCAGTGTATTTAGCTTGGGCTTTTCAGGGAGAACTGTGAAAGAATTTGCTTGACGTCCAAGAAAAAATTATTTCCACCTTAGTTAACCTTTATACCCAAACTCATGTGAATTCCTGTTTCTTTGATAAATTGAGATGTTTTTCATTCTTCTTTCTTCCTTAATGTGTAGAGGTTCATTCTTGGATGCAAACCTAATATGCTGGAGACCTATCCATGGTGCCCATCTGAAGCCTCTTATTTGTTGGAAGCATTTATTTCTTTATCCAGAAATTTTTCATTGAGGCTTAGGATGTGCTAAGTAAACGGGGCACCTAGTCCCTGTCTTCATGGAGCTGACAGTCTAGGGGGGGAGTGAGAAAGTCCCACACATCACTGCAGTAAGACATGATGTGGGTTCCGAGAGCCATATAACTAACGAGAATGGTTGAGCCGGAGATAGTTCCGGCTGGGAGCTTGGGGCAGGGGCTCTACGAGTGATGCTTATGGAATGTACACAGCATCAAGAGGCAGAGAAAGGAGGACAAATAGCATTTCTGGCAGAGGCCATGGGGCAGAGGCAGGGAAAGGTGCAGAGCTGGACTGAATCTAGCATGGCCAAGGTCAGGCTAGGAGGCTGATTTCCAGGTAAGGCTCAAAAGATGGCTTTGGCCCAGTTGGGAGGGCCCCAGTGCCATGCTGGGGACATGGCCCTATTTATGTAACCATACTTAGTATGTCCCCAGGACTGGAGAAGAAAAGTAAGAGGTAGGAAAAGGGAGCCATCAGGACTCTGAGAAAAGGGCTACAGGAGAGATCTTTGATTTAGGGACACGATTGACATAAAAAGAGAAAAGGGACAAAAATGGGCCAAGGAGTCTCTTTACTCACGCACACATTCAGAGAAGTGACAGGTCTGTGAGCCAGGCTTCCAAACCACGAGCTGCACTGTTCACAGCTCTGCTCGTCGCTGCCTGGCGCTCACACTGCAGGCAGGCATCCATCTAGCCACTCCTCCCTCGATGGCTGTAGACCACCTACTGTGCACAGATACAGCCATTACAGGGATGCAAGGTCCACTTGCTGCAGCGGGAGTTTGCAGGCCAGTGAAGGAGGTCCACGGTGGTGGGTAGTTCAAGGGCCTGTGGGCCAGGTGCCAGGGCAGCACCGTGATGGTGAGATGCACAGGTGTGTGCAAGATGAGGGTTTGGGCCTGGCTTTCAAGAAAGGGGCAGGCCATGGGTTGGCTGAGAGAGGACAGGAGGCCCTTTAGGGTGGGGGAGCCTCTGACTCTGCTCTTCTCAAATAAGGGTTCATATGGGGGAGACAATAAAGACAGGTTTTGGGGGGTAGCCACGTGTGGGGCCTTGAAAACCAGCGCTAGACTCTGGCTGGGACATCACCACAGGCATCTGAGCCGCACAGGGGTCTGGGGAAAGGAGACATGGGAAGACATGGGACCCAGAAGCCTCTCTGCCTGTGGGCGGCTCCCATCTTGGGCTGGGGGGACAGAACCCCTTGGGAACAGTCATGTCCTGCTTTGGGATTTTGCCCTTTGATGACGGGACCTGCTGATGGTGCTGGGCTTTTCTGCCCGTTAGCCTGGGCAAGCGGGGTTGGACTTCTCCTCTCAGGAGCCCACGGAGCAGCGGGAGGCTTGTTTGTGCCTTCTGGTGTGTGCTGGGGTGGCCTGAAGTGGAGCTGGCTGTCTCCTGGGTCTGCCGGCCCCAGAGGGGCCCGGTCTGGTTTGGGTCACTCGTCATTTACTTGGCATTTGCTGTTGGCTGAGTCCGTGCAGGCACTGGGGAGTCAGCAACAAGGCGACCTGCCTGGGACGCAGGGACTACCAACCTGGCAGGACACAGAGCTGAGCAGAGGCAACCAGGACCGTGGGAGTGGGGATGCTGCGCCAGCGTGCTTGGCTGGGGGGGCACCTCAGTGTCCCTGCTTTGTCCTGAAGATGAGGGCTGGGGCCCAGGGCCACCCTCTCGTGGATTTGCTAAAGCAGCCCTTGGCACCTAGACTAAGGTTGGCAGACCTGAACAACCATGAGATCGAGTGAATGGGTGTCCCCAATCTTTCTGATGGGCTTCCTGAAAGGAGCTCTGGGCAGGTGACTCCTGAGGGGCACAGACAGCTGCTCGGATAGCTTGGGCAGGTCATCCAATGTCTCTGGGCCAGGAACAGGGTCCCATGGAAGAGCAAGCACCCGTCCACCTCTAGGAGCCAACACGGGGTGTCAGTGACCAAGACAAGCATCTGTCCCTTCCTCTTCCATAGCACTCAGAGGAACCCCTGCCAGGGCAGGGGACAGGATGGTGGCTGTGCAGGGCCACCAGGGACAGGCAGGGAAGCCTGAGGGATACCAGCCTC